GACGTACATCGAATCGAAGGGCAGAGGAAGTTGGAACTGTGACGAGGTTTATCGAGAGTTGCGATTTTGAGAAAAAGGTTTTTAATCCTTCGTATTTGAAGGATTGAAAAATGATACTTCAACATTCGCGTAAGCCCAACGAAGATCATTTTTACGCTTGTGTAAAAATGATCATTAACTCAAAAATGTCATTAACACAACATCAACACAAAAATTGATAATAATCTGACACTAATAAATTATTATTAATTCAATGCTTCTCTGACGTTGATCTGCCACGGTTGATCTTTCTACATTTTGTCTCTCGACAAGACGAAAGTGTCGAGAGACTTGTGAAAATGCCACTTTTCTTTCATTTCGTTCACTCTCAAGGTCGGTGTGTATAATTTTTTACTCTCGAACGCGTTGGCGAGACCCGCTGCTCGACGAAAACTGTCGCGAGATGCTCGAATCGAAACGCGGAGTTTACGGGCGGCCGTCTGACCGCAAATGACTCGCTCCACTTGCCCCTGTTAACTCTCTCCTGTTCGCTGGAACAAAATTCGTAACAGTCCTCCACCCGTATTTACGCTTCATCGAGCTACTTAAGCGGTATTATGACGAACAACAGACGGGGAATAGATCGCCGAATTGCTCGTTAGTCCAGGGATTAGCCCCCCTAAATCTCCCTCCGATGATTTCCCATCGTTTCTAGCTCGAATTCCTAAAGATTAACGAATATTCCAAAGCGAACGGAAATTATCGTCCTACGTACATAGGTATACCAGTCGATTTTAATGCTTCCAAACATACGCAAACGCGATTGAATATTACAGGTATCGTCAATATTTGCCCCTCCCTACGTGACGTTAAAAGTATTAATATTAACGTCAACGTTGTAAATATTAATTGAATATTAATGTCGCGAGCTGCAAATAAAATCACATGCTACTTCATAAATTATGCGTTAACAATTCATCAGAGAGAAGGAACGAACGACCCATGAATCGTCGTGAATTTTTTTTTCATTTTCGCGTAGTCATAAATCGAGCCCGCGGCCAGATCGTATCGATCGAGTACAAATTTACCTTGCACGGTGGCAAAGTCTCGGTGTCAGTCTGGGGATCTCGCGGCATCACGGTGCGGTGTTTCGAGACTCGGCGCGAAAAAGAAGAAAACGAAAACCGAGCCGAAAACACGGTCGTTCGATACGGCGGCGTAGAGAGATAGAGGAAAAAAGGGAGCGTGTCTTTGTCGAAGGTAAGTGGACCGATAAAATCTCGACGGCTTCCTCACGATAATATCATTTCGAGATACTTTCACGGGGAATTCACCGCGCGAGCGAGCGAGTGCACGCACGACGAGAGAAAAGAATACCAGACGACGACAAAATACGATCGAGCCGGTTGAACGGATCTCTCAGGACCTTTTCGAATGAATTTCTCGCCGCGTTTTTCATGCGCTCTCGCTACGTCGCCCTCCCCGCCATGTTCGATCCGCATGAAAAGCTATCCTTAGAGATAGAAATCTGAATGGATTCGAGTTGCCTAGTTCCTTCTCGCGAGGGTGAAAGTTGAATCTCTCTCTTTCTTTCTTTCTCTCTTTTTTTTCTCCCCTTTTACAATTAGCTCGATCATAAGATTTTTTTTTATTGAGTTATTGAATTATCGCTTGGATCTCTCAAATGATTTTAAACCGTTAGAACTTGGCCAGGTTAATAAATTGTCAGGTGAATAAATTGTCAGGCTAAGGTCTCTAAATAGAAATTTCCATCGTCGAGTTAATTTTGAACTTTAAGTGGAGAAATTGGGAAAATTGAGAAGCAGAAGGGATATAGAAAACTATTGCGGAGTAGTTTCGACGAAAAGTCGTTCGAATCTTCGAAAATATACTGTTAGAAATTGTATAAAATTATTATTGTAACATTGTTTAATTAATGTCATAAATTGTATTAAATTATTATTGTAATATTGTTTAATGTTATAACATTGTTTAATTAGTGTTACAAATTGTATGAAATTATTATTGTAACATTGTTTAATTAGTGTTACAAATTGTATGAAATTATTATTGTAACATTGTTTAATTAATGTTATAATTTGTATGAAATTATTATTGTAACATTGTTTAATTAGTGTTACAAATTGTATGAAATTATTATTGTAACATTGTTTAATTAATGTTATAATTTGTATGAAATTATTATTGTAACATTGTTTAATTAGTGTTACAAATTGTATGAAATTATTATTGTAACATTGTTTAATTAATGTTATAAATTGTATAAAATTATTATTATAACATTGTTTAATGAATGTTATAAATTGTATCAAATTATTATTATAACATTGTGTAATTAATGTTATAAATTGCATTAAATTATTATTATTATAACATTGTGTAATTAATGTTATAAATTGCATTAAATTATTATTATTATAACATTGTTTAATTAGTGTTACAAATTGTATGAAATTATTATTGTAACATTGTTTAATTAATGTTATAAATTGTATTAAGTTATTATTATTATAGCATTGTTTAATTAGTGTTACAAATTGTATGAAATTATTATTGTAACATTGTTTAATTAATGTTATAAATTATGTGAAATTATTATTATAACATTGTTTAATTAATGTTACAAATTGTATAATATTAATGTTTAACGAAAATTGTGACGTTTCAATACCACTTTGGTAGTTCCAACTCTCTTTATATTTCTGTTAGATTCTCAAGTCAATTGCACTTGCAGTTCTTTTTTTTTTTCTCTCTGTCTCTTCTATTTCAACTTGATTGCTGCTGGATTTCTTTCCACATTCGACACGATTGAAATCCGGATTTCTTTCAAGGTTAGTTTGCCTATGCTTAGATTCTCCGCGATGAACGATTTCGTTTAAATTTCCTTCGCGACTGGGTTGATTGCGGCTGCAGCTTTTTGTCTCAACAAAATTGATTGTTCAAATTTATTTAAATTTCCTCCCCGGTTAAGATGATTGAGTCTTTCAGGACATTCAGAGGTCAACATTTTATTTTATTTCTATTTATTTACTACATTTCGTCTCTGCTCGAATAAAAAAAATAGCTTTTCACCAGTAATATTTTCGTCTTGCAGAGACAGAAGATTTTGCACGATGTTCGACGTCTGTAAGATGAAAAGAAAGTAGTTTCTTTTTCTGAAATCTCCCCCTCGCGAAACGTCAAACATTCAGAAGAAAATGAATCTGAAATTTCACTTTAGGAAACATATTATAGAAGCGCATATCGGGCTTCGTTATTCTTTGCCTCCGTGAAGGAAACTTGATCCAGCTCTGAGGATTTGCTTCATCCATCTTGGCTCTCTTGTTTTACGTTTCGTTGATGTTACGACAAACTTTGTCGTTTTTCGTGAACCTTCAAACATACAGATCTATCTACGTACGAACAAACAGATCGTCATCGAAATCATTCGAGTGAAAGCTTCTCTTATTTATAATGGCCATTAATAATAAATTCACCTGGTTTATCTTACGATCCAGCAAATATCTTTAAACAACAGGCAATTATTACAAGGTTCGTGTAATAACGCCGTATCGATCAGAATTCCTCTCGATTCTCACGTGAACAGTGCAGCTCAAGCATCAAGGCGGAAAGCTCACCTAAAATCTTTATTCATTGAGCAAGTCTACGGTATTTGAAAATTTTCCAAAGCATGACCTTCCACGCGCAGGAATATATTTCGTTTACAAAATTGGACAAACTCGACAACAATTGATTTTACATAGAATTTGACAACTCACAGTATTGTTTATTATATAATTATTTTATGTATATTTATTTATATATTAATATATAATTCTATCTGTTTTTAATCAGAAGGTAATAATCTGGCAATTATTTTCATTCAAACTGGTGAATTGGGGAAATTAAATTTTTTTTTTCTATTAATATTGAAATATTTTCGATTCATTTTTTTTTTTGCTAACAATATGCAACAATTGCTGGAAAGTTTCTCAAGAATATTCTTGAAATGTTCCAAATTCTTTCGTACGTTCTTTCGTTCCTACTTGTAAACAAATTTACTATTATTATTATTATTATTATCATTATTATTATTATTATTACTATTATTATCATTAACCGAGTGTTTATAAATACTCGAGCTCCTTTGATACCTCGCAAGCGGTCTAAAATTCTCTTCCTTAAAATAAGCAATAGTGGTTGTGAATAAAAGAGAAGTGAATAAAAACTGGCAAGAGTGCAAAATTCTTTCTGTTTCATCATTGACTTGACCAAAGTCAACAGCTCGCAATATTACATGCGTTTCGCACGAATTACAGTCTAGTAATTTCTAATATTATTCTTATTCAGACCAAACTGACGAGGTCGATATTGAAATCTTTTAAATCAATAATGCTAGCTAACATGGAAAATCATTCTATTTAAATGTTAATTTAATATTGTACACTCAATATTCGACAAATTTTTATGGAAAATATTATAACATTTCGAATTCTTTCGTTCCTAAACGAATTTATTATCTACGTTATCATTAAACCGAGTAGTTCGTAAACTATACTCCTATATATAGACTTATGTATATGTAAACTTATAAGAAAAATTTTAGAATTAGAGCATCTTGAAAATATTCTTTATATTGTATCAAACCTGTATCAAACCAGACATTGACGAATTGGTCAGTAAACTTATGTAGTGTATTATCCATAACTATATAATAATACTATATATTAAATAAACATATAATAATATAACTATATAACAATGATCCACCAATATCGTAATGCCAACAGTACAACGACACGACAGATCGTTACTTTAAAATACCAAAGTACCATAATATAATATACTTACAGGATTCTCGAGTCTTCGTGGTTTCAAAAAATAGTGTATACAAACTTATACTCCTATAAACCTAAAGCACGAGATGTTCCAAATTCTGTTTCTCGAGGCGAACAGATTCAGTAAATAAATAGAAAGGAACGCGAGGAAGCAAATAAAAGCACGATTTCTCTGTTTTTTAGGGGACGTACGTATGTACGCGGAGGAGCAGCAAGTGGAGGAGGAACGCGTATGGTCAGACGCATTCCAGTGACACGGGCACGAAACAAAAGGAGTACATCAATTTCGCGTAAGCCTGTTCCTCGACTCACGATGTGTAATCTCCGAAGCAGTTTATTGTCCACTGTGATGAGAATGTAATCGTTAATCCCACTAACGGGGGGAGGGGGGGGGGAGGCTGAAGCCCCCCGTAATTACACGTTCTAATCACGAATGCCACTGGCGCGCAATAGAGTTCGATCAACGCGAGGAAAGACACAACTGGATAATTTTCTGAAACCACGAAGACTCGAGAATCCTTTAAGTACTTTTGGTAATATATATTATATATTACATTATGGTACTTTGGTATTTTAAAGTAGCGATCTGTCGTGTCTTTGCACTGTTGGCATTACGATATTGGTGGATTATTATTATATAGTATTATATAGTTATATTATATATAATATTATATATATTATATATATATATATTATACAGTATACTGTATATATATATATATATATTATATATATATTATACAGTATTATTATATAGTTATAGATAATAAGTAATATAGTATTATTAGATTATCTATTATCTATAACTATATAGTACTATATAGTTATAGATAATAAGTAATATAGTATTATTTAATATACAGTTATTATTATAGTTAATATACAGTATTATTATATAGCTATAGATAATAAGTGATATAGTATTAGATTATCTATTATCTATAACTATATAGTATTATATAGTTATAGATAATAAGTAATATAGTATTATTTAACATACAGTTATTATTATAGTTAATATACGGTGTTATTATATAGTTATAGATAATAAGTAATAATTAACAAGAATCGTTAACAACAGTGACAATAAATGTCGTGATTAAATTATGATAAATGAATATTGTGACGTTGTATAAATAATCTATGGCGATGTTACATTTATTGGGAATGAAATATTGAATTTCTTTGAACATCTCACGCCCATAATCTGCGGCTGTGTAACCAAAATTGGAATGATTGAATAAGAATTTCAGTATTTGAATAATTTTAACTACAAATAAGCATGTCTGTCTTGTTTTCAATTTAGCGTTAGAGTGACTAATTACGTATAATTTCCGAGACCCAGTAAAATAAATATTTTTGCCATATTTACTGCTCCATTTTCAATATCTGTCAGAGAACATGTAAATTAAATGGTATTGAGTTGCAATCAGATGGATAGAATTCGAGGAAAAATTTATCCAAGTGTCTTTATTAGACTTTCATGAACTAAAGAAAAATATTCAACACTTTATGAATGTGATGTCCCGTTTGGGAAGTACTTATATTTGCGAACAGTTTTTTTCTATACGAAGTACACAAAACATAAAACAAGAACAAAAATTTTACAACTAGAGCATCTTGAAAATATTCTTTATATTGTATCAAACCAGACATTGACGAACTGGTATCTGTTATTAAAAAAAAAAAAGAAAAAAACAAGTTCAGTGTTCATTAAAAATATTAAAAATTTTCACATTCTTTTCGTTAATACAAACATATATTTCCATCGTAATTAATGTATCGTTTCACTATAAATGTTGCTTTAATATCCTCGCAAGTAACACAGATTACATCGAACTGATAAAAAAAAAAAAAAAAAATACGTAAAGTATGCGTGGCTCTCAAAAAATTTTGTCAGTCCAGAAGATTTAAAAGGTTGGATATCGATGAGCTAAAACGTACACGCGTACCCGGAGTGAATGGGTAAGGGTTGGTCTCACAGTGAACCAGATGTGGAGCATTTATGCAAGATCGTTATAACATAATGGCCTGGCTGTGATTTCACCTGCCGCAAAAGCGTTTCCTTTTTAGACCTTTCTCCGGTGGCTCGTGGCTGTTCGCGGTTTCAGAATGCGAAATCAGCCGTAGCGCGGCTACGACTGCGTGTTTCTGTAACTCTCGGAGTAAAGCCTAAATTGCCGTTGTTGTTTCCCTCTGATTGCCGCGCTGCAAATGCCACGGACAGAGACGCGTTCGCTGTGCGATCTTAATCGTTCCTTCCCCTTCTCGGTTCTCATCGATGTGCAACGTTCCTTCGTGTTTTCAGCCTTTTGCGTAACCTGTTTAACCCCACCGAGTGAAATTTGGAGCCACGTCTCTATGCCGAGTGTTATTACGGTTAATGCCCGAGCTAATCGTTTCTGTCGGTCCGAGGGGGGAGAGAAGGGAGGAAGGGAAGCGGTTCAGAGATAGAAAGCAATTTGTCGACAGTCGCGCATGAAAATTTCTTCCATAATTAGGCGGTAATTTTCGAGAGCGGTTTAATGCAAATGACGGCCGAATACCGGCCGGTGTAGGAAGTGACTCGGTGCGCTTTAATCGCTTTCGTATCACCGCGGAATGCTAAATATTGCTGAAACGTTAGTCACCGGTCGCTTTAAGTCTGCCAACTAACTCTACCTATCGCTAAGTCAATTATTTGTCGTTGCTCGTACCACGTCCGTGGGCATAAAGCTGTGCGACAACCGTTTCGCCAAACGATCTAGATCGCGATCTCTCGAACACTGCAATCATTGCAATGGTAGCCACCGTTGGTTCTTTTTTCCAATGTAACAGACCGCTGATAAACTTCAGTTAATTGACGCGCTTCGTATAATGCGTATTTCGATGCAGAACACCGCACGTTGACTAGGAAATGCGGCTATTTCGCCGAGTTACGAAATCACGCGTGTAATACCATCTGTATCTAAAACATAACCAGTAAAACATTCCTCGATTTTACGAATGATGGATCGATTTGTTTCTCAATCTGGGTATTACATTTACCAAAGATCGATTGGACGTGTTCCAATTTTATTAGATTATCGATACTCGTGCAAGATTCTAACAAGTGGAACCTAGATAGATGATAGTCGTTTACGCGCTCGTGTCGCGTGTTTCAGCGCGCGTAAAGCACGTTAGACGAACGAGGAAAGGCAAGGCGACACCGTAGAACGAAGTTGCCCCGGTAAAAGGGAGGCAAAGAGCTTGATCCAGGCTCCTGGCGTAAAGTAACGGTCCACCGGTCAAGGCTCGCCAAGGCCTTTTATCGTTCTTGTCGGCCAGAACGTTACCTACTCCTCTCTCTGCGATTTCGTTTCTCCGACTCTCGTCTCTTTTTCCATCTCTCTCTCTCTCTCTCTCTCTCTCTCTCTCTCTCTCTCTCTCTCTCTCTTCCATGCACGCGCCTGTACGTTTTCCGCGGAAAGACTCTCAAATAGGAGTTACATCATTCTCAAGACTGGGCTCGTTCGTGCGATACGAAACCGGAAGCGAAATAATAATCGCCACGTGGATGCTGGACCGTGGTCGAATCTTCCGTTCCATCTTTCAGTTATTTATGAGAGACCGCGGGAAACTCGTCTTATTGTTATCTTGTTCAAAAATGATAGATTCTAAAATTCCTCCAGTGACATAATCGGGTTCGTTTAGATTCTTCTTGACCAGGTACGGACAAAGAGTTTGACTGACATTCGAAGGCAATTGGATAGTTCGATCGAGAAGAGTTGATAAAGAGAGGAACTTTCGAAACTTATACGCAAAAGAGCGCGCAAGAAAAAATGAGACGTAACGTTAAGATCATCGAACACGATACGTACCATGCTTCCTTTCGTGCCAATAATAATATTTCGCTCTTACGTGTAGATTTTTAAATCGATAGACATTCTTTTTTCTCATTTCGAAGTTAGCGATTTCAACTATACGTTTGGAATTCGTCGTGATCGCATCGCGTTAGACTAAGTCGTCGATGAAGAGATATCCGTTTCCTCTCGCGTTTTTCATGGCCACGGTCATTGAAGCTTGAAGCTTGTATACCTCCTCTACGCTCTCCGAGTGCTTCGATAGACATCTTAATCATAGCATTCTTTATCACGCGATTCCTTTAAATCATAGACGATTCTTAGAAGAGGAAGAAGAAGAGGAAGGAAAAAAAAGAAGAGAATTACTCAGTTTCGTTTTATTGGAAAGATTTTCCTGACAAAAAGCTTCGCAGACTGTAGAAAAAAAATCCGCTGGTAATTGCGTTGTATAATTAATTTACTAGACGTTCGACTCGCGAAACTGGATGCGTCTCTTCCTGATATCTTTATGACACGACGGTGGATCGACAAGGTCCGTCCCCTCGGTTGTTAGATCCGATCACAATGTACTTTACGACAGTTCTTTGCTCCGATCCGTTCACCCAGACATTGAAACATTGGCTCTTCGCTGAATTATGCCAACGTCCGCTGAAACGAGCATCGCGATTCTCTTGTTCTAGCCGCCAAAGCATGCTCGCGCGTTTCTACAAACGCTTCATTTGCAGAAAAAAGTTCGAAGTTGCCTATCTCGCGAGGAAGAAGCGTAGAGAAAACGAGCCAACTTCTCGAGAAGTTCAGCCAACTACGGGCACCGTGAAGTGGAATGCGAGATAAACCAGTCGTACTTCTCGCGACTCGTCGACGTTTTTTCTTTTTTTTTTTATTCATTCGTTGGAAGATCTGTTTTCTTTCATTCGTCGAAAGATAATAGGGAGGAAGGTGGATCCTCGGAAGTGAGGATACCTGACGAGAAGCACCACGCTTCCTTGGAGGCGGTTCCCAGTGATTCATGGATCGTTGAAATCGCGGCTCAATGCATGATTTATGGCGTTCCCATCGAGAGAAACATGAATTGTGTTCGGAGGCTGATTTACTCGAGGCTTTGAACGAGCCAGGCGCGACGGTTTTAAAATACGCGGAGCTCGTATTATTCATTGAAAGTTCGCATAAACAGAAATCTGACACACTCGAGAGTGTTTTACGATTACGACGCTATTTTCACTTCGAGAGATTTCCTTGGTTAAAAATGGATTCGACCTTTTTGGCAAAAAGTCAGACTAGGCAAGGCTGGTTCGTTCCTATCGCACGAACGGAATCAGAATCCGAAAAAGTGACTTCAAGCGCAGCGAATGATTCGACGTGGCGATCTCGTACCAGGAAGAGAACTCATCCGCCTACGAACGGATCGTTGCGGTCGGTCTCGTAACGAGAACAAATCTCGATAAGCATTGTTACGAAAGCGAACTCGGAAACAGGTGTTCGAAGAGCTGATACTGACGCAAACCTACGGACTGGCGAATGGTACATGGGCGTATTACGAT